CGTGACGTGATGTGACGCAACGCCGCCATATTGTCTTATTTTGTTTTTAATGGAAGCCATCTTGTTAATTCCGATGGAAAGGAAGGTTGGAGTTTCTTATTGTAAACATTAAACTTTAGATAATTATAGTCTTTAACGGTATTTTATGAACATAAGCTGAGCAGTAAGAGTCTGACACTCCCTCCCGCCCGGCCTGGGCAGGAGAAGTCATTTGATGATTTATTTTTATGATGATTTTACCCTCACAAAAAAACTATGCTTAAATCTCTAAAATCCCTTATCCCCAAAATGCTAACAACGTTTTTGCAACTTATTTCATCATGTTTTTATAATAACTATCGTGAGACATACTAAATTAACTAAAAATCGCGGGTTGCTCAAACGGCGACGTCGCCGCGTCCGCGCACGCTGCTCATGAGGAAGAACCGCTCTGTGGTTCGAAACTAGTAGAGCTTTTCTCAATATGTACACGCGGTACTAGTAACCCGCGATTTTTAGTTAATTTATTTCATCATCATCATTAGCCTGTTGTTATATATAATACAACTTATTTATTTTATATATAATATAATCTTTTGCATTCAGGTGCCAATGGCCCATAGATCAGAAGATCCATCTGCTCATTTGCCAAATCTAGGTTATAAAATAATGCGGTAGTAAATAAATTCGGAATTTTGTTTAAACACTCAAAGGGGACAGATTTCGTCAAGCAAAGATGTAGCTCAGGAGTTTGAGGCATTTTTTGCTAATATACCTGTCACAACAACTGCTCATTTAGAATCATCAGCCAGACTATCGTTAACTTTGCTTAGAGAAAATGTCAAATCATGCAAAGACGATTTTAGTTTTCATTATACCAATCCTTTAGAGATAATAAAGGTTTTTAAAGAAATCAAGATCAAATCAACTGAGGACCTTTGGGGACTATCGGTGAAAGTATGCGGATCACTTATCCGAACTTTAGCGCCGTATCTGGCTTTGATTTCCAATAAAAGTATAGATGACGGTGTCTTCCCGAACCTAATGAAATACAGTAAAGTTATTCCATTATTCAAAAATGGTGACACTAAGGAACCAAACAACTATAGGCCTGTGTCTGTTCTGCCGGTTCTTAGCAAAGTGTTTGAAAAGTTAATGCTATCTCGGATGCTTCATCACTTTGATAAACATGCCATCTTCCATCACCAACAATACGGTTTCACTAAAGGTCGTTGTACAACTGACGCCGGTGTCACTTTGATAAAGGAGGTATTCGGTGCTTGGGAGGAAGCACAGGATGCTGTTGGTGTCTTTTGCGACCTCTCAAAGGCGTTCGATTGCGTTGATCATGAAACACTCTTGCTGAAATTAGATCATTACGGGATTAGACATACTGCACTCCGTCTACTAAAGTCATATTTAGAGGATAGGCAGCTGAGAGTTCATGTAGGTGGTTCTAACTCACGGGGCTCTGAGATAAGAATTGGCGTACCGCAAGGTTCAATTTTGGGTCCGTTTCTCTTCTTAGTGTATGTTAATGACTTGCCATTTCTATTTAAAACTGAGCCAAGAATGGTGCTGTTTGCAGATGATACATCATTAATTTTTAGAATAGGTCGACGTGTTAATAATTTTGACGAAGTAAACAGATCCATTCATCAAGTTCATAATTGGTTTACAGTCAATAATTTAGCACTTAACGAGAAAAAAACAAAATGTATTAAATTTAGCTTGCCCAACGTACACAGTAATGATTGTGACATAATTTTAAATGGGCAAAAGTTAGAATTTGTTAACGAGACTATGTTCCTAGGTATTACGCTAGACAATAAACTTCAATGGGGTTCCCACATAAAGACGCTTTCGGGAAGACTGAGCTCAGCTGTTTTTGCAGTTAGACAGATTAGACAGCTCACAGACGTGAACACAGCAAGGCTTGTTTATTTTAGCTATTTTCACAGCATTATGTCGTACGGAATTTTGCTGTGGGGTCGAGCTGCGGAAGTAGATTCAATATTTATTTTGCAAAAGCGGGCTATCCGAGCGATATATAACTTGCCCCCTCGTGAATCTCTGAGAGAACTATTTAAAACGATAAATATCCTAACGGTACCTTGTCAGTATATATATGAAAACATTATGTACGTAAGGAAAAATTTGCAATTATTTGAAAAAAGAAGCGATAGACATAATTTTAATACAAGAGGCAAAGATAGGCTGGCTGTGCCACGATTCCGTCTGTCCAAAGTACAGAAATCCTTTATGGGGTTCTGTGTAAATTGTTACAATAAAATTCCAAGAAGTGTATTAAATCTTAATGAACGAAAATTTAAAACTTATATTAAACGCGAATTATGTAGACAGGCATACTACAAACTTTCAGATTATATTGAGGACAAGAATGCCTGGCATCATGTTGGTTCGGCTCCACTGGACAATACTCAAATATGTAGTCATTAGTTATTGAAATTCTCAAAATTAATGAAACCTTGAATGAGTTTATATAGAAGCATTCTTTTGGATTGTGAGTACGCATATGTGAGCACCATGTTCGAGACAACAAAGGATTAAAATTTTAATGATAGATAGACCATCATTTGTTCCTTTTTATTAACAACTTGACTCTGCATTGTTCTCACATAGGGGTAGTAGTAATGTATAAAAAATGTATTATTTATGAATTGTAAAACAAATATTTGTTTTAAAAGAGTAACGATGGAGTTTCTTGCTCGTTCTTCTCCATTCGAAACTACAATTTGGAACGAGCACCTAGCTTCACTGACGAACAGACTGACAGACTACTATTCTATTTTGACGTTTCAAAAGTACCTATTTATGGTTTATTTGGAATAAATGATTTTGATTTGATTTGATTTGATAAATAAATATGTAAGGATTCCAGTAGCAGTTCAACACCTTAACCACTCGGCCATCTCGACCCTCTCAAACTTATATGATCAAATGCGTGAAAATAAACCACTGTTATTTTAATTAGGTGACTGGCTGCTACGCTACAGGCAGCTGGTTCGATTCTTCAGTTGAGCAAAAGGTGAAAGTATAATTTATAATTATAATAAATAACGTTTTCTAATGAAATCATATGATATTTTTATATATGTTGTAAGTATATTTATTATGTTATAATTATTTTATCTGTTCGGAAGTCGAACTGTTCAAATTCGACCGTCTTATGCTGAAATTTGGGATTGAGAAAGAAAAAATCTAAAGAAAATTGAAATAAAAACATGTGAACTTATGTAAATTCACTATTTAATCAATCATTAAATCTATCCAAAAGCTAATGTGAAATTTATAAGTTTTATATGCAAAATTTTGACATTTTAAATTAGTCGTATAATAATTAATTTAACTAATCTTGCTTTTAACGCCATCTGTTAGTCGACACTAAAATAACAAAAATGAAATCAAACATAAATATTATCCTGGCAAATCATTCCAAATACCTACAATTGAAGTTATACTCATGTTTTTGTATTTTTCTTAAAAACATTATACCAATATATTCGTAAAAAAAGTAAATTAATGTATTTCTTAATTATCGGTTAAATGTTTTATAAAGCGCCATCTATGGTCGAGTAGAAGAACTAGTGAGGTATTCGTCGGTTTTTCTTTGAGGCTTGACGGCACGAGCCGGTCTGCGTCGGCAAGTCTTTTGTAAATTGTAGCTTCACTTTTATTATACCTAGTCAACATTATATTTATTACTCAAAAGTACGGCTTTACCTTATTCTAGTATTCTATTCGTAATTATTTGACATTTGATTTGATGTAAATGCAAACTTACCTCTTAAGTTATGGAAATATAATCAGTGTTTTTATTGTTTTTATAATACGTGCGACGTCGCGTCACCAGTAGGCTGCGCGACGTCGCCGCGTCGCGCACGCTGCTCATGAGGAAGAACCCCTCTGTGGTTCGAAACTAGTAGAGCTTTTCTCAACATTCACACGTGAGTAACCCGCGAATTTTAGTTAATTTAGTGTTTTTATTATTTTTACAGAAATGTTGACATAAAAATGTTGAAGCTTCGATACACATTAATAGCATCAAAAACACTACACAAACATTCCTGAAAACTTCACTTGCACACAAAAATAACAAAAACATAATTTCAACCAAAATCGAACTCGGTACCGATGTCGCTTTGAACCACTGAACATGGAGTGTTGTCGGCATCTTTTGACAATGCCGAAAGGCCGCCCGTGGTTTGTTTATATTATTCAATTCGCCGGCGAACCTCGTGAAGAGCAGTTGTGTATATTCTAGTGTCCTCTGTCTTTATCAATTAAGTGTAAGTATCTTGTTTTTATTAGGTTTTAGGTATAATATTAATTAACCATCAAAATTGTTTTGTTTACATTAAAAATGTTATTTTCGTAACATTAATTATTTCATATTTTCTCAACTTTCTTGATGTTTTATAATTATGGTGTTACTACAGTATTATTGTTAGTGATTTAATTCTAATATCGTAGGTTTATCGAAATAGAAACCTAGGTATTCCATGTTATTCCATCATTCGATTACTTATGTAACTTGTTTTATACATAAATGACTGAATTATAATGGTATCTAATAATTAGAATTAAAATAGCTCTAAGAAAAATAAGAGTTCAAATACCTACTCTACATTAATACCCCATTTATTAGATTAAATGTTTTGTGTTTATAAATAAATTATTATCAATGAAACCCTAGGCACGTAAGTATCACCTAGATATTTCATTAATTGAATTTCCCTTGAACAAGAATAAATATAAAGTAAATATAGCTTTATTATTTTTCCAGATATTTTAAAAGGCTATTTTTTATATTTTCGAGTTTTTTGTGTCGTTTAAAAGCTAATAAGATTCTAATTCGACCATTTTGCTCGACACTTTTGCGACCTCACTTCCGCAAACTTACAAAATGGATGATTTGATTTTTTTTCTTTACACAAAATGTAAATAGTGAATTATATTTTTAATTTATTTATTGTTTTGGTATTATTTCAGATCTGAAAATGTATCCTGCGAAGAGTACGTATGATTACATGACTGAAATAAACCGATTGTTCCCTCGACCCGCTGAAAATGGTAAGTTTAAAAGTTCGTAAAACACTCTTCTGAATTCTTAAAGTTTAAACTACAATGGACATGCCAATCAATTTTAGACAAAGCCTCTAACAATACCCACTGCTCAAAACTGCTATTTAGTTAGCCAATTAATTGTTTCGATCAATTTTAATAAACAAAAGAATGTGGTTGCACTTGTTTTCGACGAATTTTTGTAATCTAGAATTCTTGAATCAAAGGCTACCCACTGACCATAATAAGTTGCTAAAAGAAATTCCGAGTACCGAAATCCTGATACTATAATTACTTTCCAACTTATATTTTCTTATAATAGATAGGTATTAGTTATCTTTCAAAGGGTACAGTAACCTAATTCTCAATAAATCAGTTCCAGATGCCTATCGGACTCCGAGCGCGCTGCCGACCATGACAATGAGTTCACCATTCAGGCAATCTACACCAGTGAACCGTTCTTCAAGCTCAGCAGATTCTCTATCCCCAGACTCCTTCCCAGACTTGTCTCATCGCTCAGACACCGACAGACACTCCTTTGAGACACCATATGTAGTTCGTCGCCAACGTCCAATCATTGGACGGAGGATTTTTGACAACACAGAACAACCCACCCCTGCAACTACAACTTTAAAACAGTATGAACATGATATTGAGTTTCCCAATTCAATATGGCAGCCAGATGAACACCATTTATTCCCACCGACACCGCCAAGTGTAAAAGTAGAACCAAAGAACTACACTCAGAACATTTTCTATGAACTATTTCCCACCGAGAAGAAAGGGTTTGAATTTAAGCCTCCAGTTAAACTATCTCCTGTATCTAACTTCACACCATCACCAACATTTTCTCCGACCCCACCAACTGCAAAGTTTCCACCACGAATGCCAACTTCACCGTTCAGAGTGCCAAGTAGACCAAACTACGGGCCAAGTTCTTCTAGACATCAGGATGTGAAGTCTGATAAAATGTGCACATTTTGTAGGAAGAATGGAGAAACTCCACTGGTGTATATGACCCATAGTGTGCGAGAGAATGTTGGGAACCAGAGTATTGTGACCTGTCCTATTTTGAGGTCTCATGTCTGTTCCACCTGTGGAGCTTCTGGGGATAATGCTCATACTATGTAAGTACCTTAAGATTATTATTTTTATAAAACAAACATACATATTTACATACACATCACTCCAAGACTAATAACAACAATTAGTGGATGAAATATGTAGATGTTTCCTTGTGGGAATCATAGCCGCGACACTGCATAGCAACGAGTTGCCTAGTCACTGGTTCAACCCTGTGTCAGTGGGTCGTCTTAGGGGCGGAGACCCTGCAATCACCAACTTGAGTTATCTATAATCTCTTTTTTAAAATCACAATTTAGTAATATTGACAGGGCAAATTGTACACAATGCTAACTCAAATAAATCTATAAAATTTAAAGATACACAAACTGTTACAATATACAACAACTACATTCATGCTGTTTCTAAAGCTCATTTAGTCCTAAATAAACTCCCTTAGTTGTCCATAAAACATATATAAAGTTCCACATTAACTGTTTATCTAAGTTTTATTATATAGGTCTATTAAAACTTGGAACCATTGCAATTCACCTCACAACAACCTTTTTTAACTCCAAAAATGCTATCAAATTATTCTTCTAAATTGAAATTAACTACTCTACAACCTTATAATTCCAGTACATACTGCCCAGTTCTCCGCAGCAGCAACAATGGAAGACCTCTGCAGTCCACCACCATCACATTGAAGAACACCAGAATCAAAAGCAATGGTAGGAGGAGATTTTAATTATATTTTCTTTGACTAATCTATAAAAATAATTAAGATTTTAGCACTAAGTATAATGTAGTGATATTTTAGATATATCTAGATTTTTGACAAAACTGACTGACACCCGGTTTCCGAAAGGCCGATCAATGTTAAAATCAATTAAATTTCTTGTCAAGTCATCTGATTGGTTGACTGAATTATCAACAACCAATCAGATGACTTTAGTTATTTTTAGCAGAGATTAATTAATTTTAGCATTGACAAGCCTTTCAGAAACCAGGTGTTAGTCCAATGTGGGTTATTAATATCTAACATTCAAATATAGATCTAGTTTCTATTTTGACTCAAAAAAGACTATTTTTAATAAGGAATGACTGATTACATTGATCTAGACTAGAATATAAGAAATATAGCTGGGTAATGTTTGTAAGCTTAATATAGGACCTTTCAAAGACTGGACTGTTTTTTATTAGAGGAAATTAATAGCTGTGTAAGTTTTTTTTCCTATTTCAAGTTAACCAAAGAGTATATAGTATAAACACTATGTCCTAGTTAGTTAAAGTTAACAATAGATTTTAAAAAGGAATTAAAAACACTTTTTAGTATCAAGTTATAAACATTGCATAATAGGGATGATGTAGTTTCCTGCAACATAATCTATTATAGTATCTAATAATAACAGTACTCTGATTGGTTGATTTAATTTAAAGCTTAAATTAAGTATTATTTTTTCCCTTAATTAAGAGTAATAAAGATTATACATTTCACACAAATTTGAATATCATACAAAATTCATAGAAATCATTTTTGACAATTTGGAAAGAGCTGCCTAACTAATGTCTTTGACTAGATATTGTCTGGCCCATTTTTGAGAAATCAGTGCCCTCGATTTTAAATTCATATCTGCTCATTCCTCTATTAATGAAAACAGCCAAAGATTTTTAATTTTCAGTCTAAAAGCCATTCCAGTTACAATAGATTAATTGTGGATTATTTCTATTAAAATATGTAATAGCAAGCTTTATATTTTTTTAATGTATCAACTTTAAAAGCATGATAATACTTAATAATGTAGATCAGATTCAAATGGTGCCAAACTAATGATCTCATACAATTAAAATAATAGGTAGGGAATACTTATGCATGTATTTATATAATTTATAATATGGCTATAATAAAAATGTTTTAAAAAGTCTGTACTGAGAAACACAATATTAGTTTTAAAGTAGGTAATTTTTTTCAAAAAGCCACAGGCTGATAAGCACAGATGTAAAATATTCTAAAACAAGATCGTTTTCGCGCGCTTATGGCTACATCTTGGTCTACACGAAGTCTACTTCTTTATTTCATATATCATATTTATACTCTTTGCTACAGTCTGAGATATTAGAATTTGATCCAACCAGTAGCATTATCGTTTGATCGCGTCTGATTGAATACTACTTACACCACTTTTCATATTAATTATTATTCAAAAATATGTGTTAATCCAATTGAAAATATTACCTACATAAAAAAATATTTGTTCTTAATAATATGTGTATTTCCTATCATTTCATTTTACTGGTTATTTTTTTAATAATTTAAATTATGATTTGCCATTTCATCAGATTGCTAATTATTGAATTACTGTACAATAAAATTGTATAGTTCAAATAATATAGTTTATTGTAAGTTCAGTGCTTGGCCTTAAAAAAAAATAAGGTGATTGATGGAAATTGTCTTGTCTCCATAATTATTATTCTAAGTGACTACTTTCAATTATCATGAAAGCATCCGAAAAATTATGACTTACTATTGCTTAATTTTGACGACTATTTTATTTAATTTTTACATTTTGTATGTTATAATTATAGTTTTAATACATACTTAATTGACAATAATATAATAATGACGATTTAAAAATTGAGTTGATCATGTTGAGGACATACATAATTTTAATACTAATCACACTTCAATTAAACATGGAGTAAAAATTTCATAGAGAAATTAAAACATATGAAACTGAACAGAGTAAAGGAGTTACTAATTAATAGGAGCTTTACTACAATTTTTATTATAATGTTTTTTTCTTTTTGAAGGCTAATCCTCCGCTAGCGTCGGACAACATTGTCCGACATGGCGTTCTATGTCTTAATAATGCATCTAAAAATACAGCTCGGCGACCAAATACCTACTCCAATGATTTTTTACTTCATGTATTGTGATATTGTAACTAAGAATTACATTGAACTTTTCCTGAAACTATGTAGAATCTGAAAAATCATGCCACATTCTTATTTTTTTTAATATTTGAACTTTTTATGCTACATTAATCATGTTTAATTTACATTTGGACAGCTGATATGCATGTTTTTATAATATTCTGACAATTACTACTGATGACTACCTACATTTTCTTATGACTTACTTTTTTGTATTATGACTATCATGAGAATTATTAAGATGACTATGTTATATGTTTTACTTAAAGAGTTATGTGTGTAAATATTCGATTAGTTTCAAGCCACAGCAAGGGCCCATAGCTATGTTTTTTGAATAAGCCATATGGCATAGTTAATCACTTCTATTTTTACTATTTTATATCCATTTGAGAAAAAGTCATTTGAAAAAGGCTAAATAAATCGAGCGATTTTGAACTCTATTGTCTTGGTTATAATATACAAAGATTTTAACATTCGAATACATGTGAAATAGAAATCTATTTTGCTTGCAGTACAAGAATTTTATTTGATCTACTTGTATTAAGAGTAGTTTAAAAAAGTACTCCTATTGGGAAACCTCATGTTAAATAAGGCTAAATAATTCAAGTGATTTTGAACCCTATCATCGTCATTCGTAACATACAAAAATGATTCTAAAATATGTAGAATAGATGTCAAAATTGCTTAGACGATACACAATACAAAAAAACCAACAATGACTACCAACCGACTGCATTCAAAATGCGTGTGGTTTATTGGCTAATTGTACTTTCAGTACAAATAAGGGCTGATTTTCCAATAGTCAGATAAATGCTATCTGCGGAAAAAAATTGTTGCTGTCACTGTCTTATACAAACATTCTGACGCGACAGCACCATAATTATTTCCCAGGTAACTTTTATCTAACCATTGAAAGTCAGCCCTAAGTAAAATAAGTTTTATAATATTTAATTTTATGACAAAAATGTTGTCTTGGATAAGATCCACATTGTGACTTTTTACTATTGTTTCCATAATTATTATGATTTATGCCTGCTGTAAATATCCATTGTATTATGTTTTTAATGTGTCATTTTAAGTCGAAAAACTTTATACCCAATGATATTATAAGTAAAATGGTATAGATAGGTTACATAAACAACATACGTTTTTCAAAAACTGCACACTTATGCACACATAAATAAATCGTATGATACACGTTAAAGTGGGATGGCATGATTCAATAATCGCGAAGGAAAAAGAGACAAATGTGAAAAGTGTGGCTAGCTAGCCACATTTTAATGTATGACTTTCTGAGCGCTTGTAACCTATCTACACCATTTTACTTATAATATCATTGTTTATACCTATTTAATTACTACATTTTCTTATTAATTACAGTAGAATATGTTTTTACCGCCTCATTCGTCACGCCGTTGAGTAATTAAGGATCTCAGATGTGTTATTTTCACTTATCTTCAATGACTAAAGGCTCAATTTCTTGTAAAACAGCTGCAATAATTGTATACAACTAATTTTAAGGCTTGTTTACATTATACTATATGTATTGTTCAGTCAATTAATGGACAATGCAAGTAAATAAGAACTTTAATTAATTATATGGAACAGGGGAGAAACTTAATCATGTAAATGCGTGGAGTATTTTTCTGTGTTTCAAAAGTAATAGATGTACCTGGATATAGTTGGAATAATGTTTTTGACTTGCATATTTTGCTCAACATATTATTGGCATTGGATATTTCGATTTGCGAAATGCCCGGTTATAACCAGTGATCGGAGTAGGTAGATTGAAATGGGTTAATTGATCCGAAACGTATATATTAATAAAGACATTCCTCCGGAATTTGTGGATTATTAAAAAAACCGGAACTTATGTAGAATTTTTTATCCGGCCAGAGTGGAACATATTGTTCTTCATATTTTTTTTAACGGCACACAGTCACGATTTGACAAAACCCAACGACCAAAAAGAACAAAGAATCATGGGTGTTACAATAACCGGTTATCAAAACAATGCGTATGCACGCCGACGACATGCCAGGTAGCTCACTCGTTTACTTTGGAATTCGATTGTTTTAATTATTCAACAGATAAATAATGAATTATGTAATTCAGTTTTGATACCTTCCTTAAAAATTTTAATTGAGTCGGAGTAATATCATTAACAACATTTAATTGAATCCGGAAATACCGGAATTACGGGAAAATTGCTTATCCATGTTATTCTTTCTGTGTGCATTTATGATACAAGTACCAAAAATCAATTTACCTACTCCGATCACTGGTTATAACACAGCCAAGTAATTAAATTAATTATTATATTTAGCTCATGCTAAAATTTGACGTGATACTCGTCTAGTTTCAAGCCTCTCCAAGGGCTCATATTAATGCGAACGTTCGCCTCCAAGCGAAAGCCGCTATACTATAATTAATTAGAGTAATATTTTGTTAAGGGCTAATTTTTCAATAGTCGGATAAATGTTATCTGAGGAATAAAATTGTTGCTGTCACTGTCTTATACAAACATTCTGACGCGACAGCATCATAAACTTTTATCTGACTATTGAAAAATCAGCTCTAAATGTAATAGTATACCTCCTTGGCGTATTAAGCTGTGTGGGACCAATATCGGAATGTCAAAAATAATTTATTTCTCCATACAAATCGCAACAGCTGGTTGATCAATGATCATTTTGCATGGAGAAGTGATTTTTTTGTGATTTATATTGGTCTAATAGAAAATGTTATTTTTTCTATTAGACCAATATGGAAAATCACAAAATCGGCTCGTTGAATATGCTCTTCGTGTAACCTAACACCACTGTATATACATTCCTATATTTTGTCTTGCAAAGGACACAGACAATTAGATTTAGGGTTGATTTATCAATGCTTAGATAAAAGTTACCGGGGGAATAGTTTATGATGCTAATAATAAGCAAGACAGTGTATTTTCTATTGTCTCATATATTTATAATATTCGTTGTGTTGTTTGTTTGTATAATTTTAAAACTGTAAGCTCTTCATCATTGATTTAGCTATCTCTGTCGAGTAAAACAGCTCAATACTAATAGATTTTAAGACAATTAAGACTATGAAATTTACTAAAAAATATGATTTTCTTTATGAATTTTGTTTTCGCTCGCCGATTTTATTTAAGCTATAAGGTTGACTTTTGTATAACATTCGTTATTGGTTTTCAACCAAAGTAGTTAGATTTTAAGGGTGATTTTAGAACAAAAATGAGTTTAAAGAAGTTTGAATATGTTGTTTAGTTTCTTGGTTTGTTTTAAATATTGTTTTTATAATTTGTTATTATAGATAAAGATAGGTTTAGCTACTGTCATATTCGTATAGCTCTTATGCATGATAATTTACAGTTTTAACAAGAACGTTAAAATAATTGAGACCTGTCTGAACTACAAAAGCAAATTCGCTGTTATCTACACATAGTATGAATATTTTCAATAGGAATTCAGGAAGTTCGGAGAATTTGGGTTAGATTTTTCAATGGTAGCTACTTAGAATTCCTAACATGTATTCGTACTAAGACTATTTCATGTATTAGGTATGATTGCGTCAGACATATTTGATTATATTGTAAGCCTTGCCCACACCTCACTTAACTGTTCGACTAGGTAAATAAATTAACAAATTGTTACACTGTATGGGCTCCCGGTTTACCTTGAAAATAGTCTGGGCACCTCGTCAAATAGTTACGTTTAACGTAAACAATACTAATTAAGTTTTCATGTATTATTAACATAACCATGTTTTTTCATAATATTTATACCATATTTTCATATAAATATCTGAACAGACTGTCAGAAATGTTAATATAATAGTTCTGTCATGTAATTCGAATTAAATGTTTTAACATACTTTTTTAAATTTAGAAAGTACATTATGTACAACAAATGTTATTTATAAACTTGTTACAAAAAGTACAAGGATTTGCATGTTTTTTTTAATAAATGCTATTTTTAAAGGATACCTTTGTATTTTTCATCATACATATGTTTTATATGATATCGACCGGATTGATACCACGGTCTCGCAGAATACTGGCGTATAACAATCACAGCGTTGTGTTTCGCCGTGTGAGGTTACTGGTGGCCCAATCTTTCTCCCCCCCCCCCCCCCCCCCCAATGTCTTAATCCCTTATCCCCAAAAGGTCGGCAACGCACTTGTGACTCCTATGGTGTCCGGCCTCAGTCTCTACTAGGTACTCTTTCCACGGTGAGGAGCGAGAGGAACTAGAAGCCATCTCTTCTATCTGCAAAGCAGTGATGCTTGTAAAGGAGGTAATTGCGAGAGGGAACCATCTTTCTCACGCCCCAGCCGCCGCAGTAGGAGACATTCTGCCATGGTGCGGAGCGAGAGGAACTGGGATGTCGACTTCTCTTTCTGTAAAGCAGTTATGCTCTCAAAGATGGAGGTGGAGCGCGTGAAGGAGCTTTCCTCCTCCTCACGCCCCAGCCGCCGCAGTAGACGATATTCCGGCGTCGGGGATCATCAAAAAAAGCCCAATAGGGCTGATGTTCAACCGGGATTTAGGGTCAAACGCAATCATTTACAGCGGCCTCGGCCTGAACCAGGAGAAAAATCGGGGTAGTTTTTAGTCGGTTAAAGATATTGACGTACCCCTTTCGCCTTTTTTTTGTATCAGTTGGAAAATCCTCATGGAAACCCGCCACCCTCGGAGAAGGATGAAGGGTACTCAGACTGTCAGACTCCTACTGACTAAAAACTAACCCGGAGTTCCTCCATTTACCCATGTGCCGGAGGGGCGGGTATCGGCGAGCATTCGTCGCATCCCCCCAACGGATATTGGCCCGCCATTGTCAGGCGGGCCCCGTCACCCCGACCGCTGGACTTCTCCGTAAGGTACGCGCGGAACACGGCGCCACCGCCTCGAGGCCTGCTTCTGGTCGGACGACAAGACGCCGACGCCCCGAGTCTGTCGTCCGCAGGTGGGCCACACTTGGACGTCTAGTACGTCTGCTGCGGGAGGTGAGAGAGGAGGCAGCCTTTCTCTCCCTTACCGCCGCCTCCTTTGCGAGCATCACGGCCTCGAAAAAAGGTACGATGGCACTCCACCCTGACTCGCTCCCGACCATAGTAGACACTACAGCCGAAAGCAAGAGATTTCCCGCAGCACGTCCCCCTTTCGCTTTCAACTATTCAGAGCGAGTCATTTATGATTCAACTCAAAAAGCCTTCCTGGCTCCTACCCCATTTACATTGATATTGTAAATTTAAGATTGACTTGATATACTAATAAACATAGGTATTTATAATACGGTATTAAAAAGAATCATGGTCTACAATGCCCTACAGTGACATTTAAGAATAACCAACGCCATCTAGTGGCTCTTTAGTTAAATATTTACAGGCAAGAAATAAGGTCACGATCAAGTACATTTTGCAACAACACCGTTCAAGCGGATAAAATAGGAACTAATACACAAGAACAAAATATCCACGCGTAACTCTCTTTTTAAAGAAACTAGCGACATTTACAACTGCATATATAAGTTGGTAATAAATTGTTATTATTATGCTATCAGTTGTCATCCATCAAGAGCTGTTTTATAAGCAACAATGTGTTCAAAACTACTTCAAAACAGTTTCGATCGTACGTAACGTTCGGTCGCATCTTTGTAAAATAGTATAAAGTGCCAAATCTATTTATAAAGCCGTATTTGACGTAATATTTCTGCAATTATCGTCGTTTTCATTTAGTTAATAAATTTACGTAATCCGGTTAACCGGAAATAATATTGCGCGAAAATGGATGACAACTACAATAATGGTTGTTTTATTGATACGGATTTACCAGTAATGCGTCTTCAAACACCATTTGAGGTTGATTTATGTGGAATATATGGCAGGTAAGTAATTAACATCATTTATTTTCTAGTTAAAGCACAAATTATAAAAAAGTTTTTTAATATAATTTTTAGAGGTACTTCGAGTGATTTTCATTCAATCTACAAAACTATTCTGACGTTTATTTACGCGGGAAATTCAAATTTACATCCGCTCTGATAATACGATACATATAAAAATCAATATAATATATAAATAGCAAATTTATAATGATTAATGTTGTAAAAGCAAATGTGCGTAGTTCTAAATTAATAATATTATTTTTTTGACGAAGGATATTATCTCAGAGGGTCTGTCAGACTTGCTCTTGCTGAGTAAAAACCAACCCGATCCTGCAACTGCGCCGCTGAAAGTAGACAGATGTTTTTTTTTTTAATTTTTATAGTAGTTGATATTATGTACCTAGGTATCTTTGCTTCTTAGATGTAGTAATGGAATAGAATATTGACATTCTGTGATACTGCAAACTTTAAATTCAAATCAAGGAATTTAATATATTTAAATGAAATACTTAAGTAATGTTATTCTATCGCCTGCCCATGTTTATTTTGTCTTTTTATTTTAAAATACATGTATTACTTAGTAGACGATAACCATTCGCGCTAATTTTGGTAGATTTTATATTTATAAAAAACTGTAAACGTGGCATAAATTACGTGGCAAAACTTACGTGGTTTATTTTACGTGGCAGTGTTAAGATTACGTGGCCTGAGACCACGTGGGTATCGATAAATTATTTCGGGTCATTGCTATGCTATTAAATGCTTTTTTATTACTGTTTTGGTATATTTTAAATGTAAATTAAAATATCTTCGATCTTAGAGAACACAAAATCAGTGGTTTCACCATGTCGACCATAATATAGATGGATCGACTAGTTTTGCCTACATATGCATAAAATGCAAATAAATCATATTTTTTTATTGATTTTCATAAATCCTAACGAAGTATATTAAACTGGTGTTCTAGGATTTTCATAGACATTTTTTACTTCGAAAACTACGTTCAGCTGTCAAAGTCACTGTCAATAGTGTCAATTCTGTCAGTCAGCTGGCTCACCTGTCATTTATCTATCAAAAAATCACAACATTCGAATGTTTTCTCAAAAATAAATAATATCCATTCGGTTATGGCATAACTTTTTCACAAAAACAACAAAAGATGAGTTCACCGGCACAACAGGAGACTCCTGCCAAAGGAGGATCGTCGCCTAAAGGGACTCCATTGCCTCAACCATCGCCTGTTAAAGGAGGTTCTCCTTCAGTGCCTGGTTCACCTGCACATTCCCCAAAGAAGTCACCGCCGAGGTCACCACCTAGTGGAAAAGCAAATACTGCACAACCCTTTGTTTTACAAAATTCTGATGACGAGGATTATTATACTAAACCCGATTTTATATACGGCGGACCGTTTATCGCTGTGAATAAACCATCTCCGTTCTTAGATACAGGGACGCCAATTAATTTGCCGCTTCAAGGAACATTTAAAAAGTACGTATGATGTTCATGTCCGCAGTTTAAAAAAAAATAGTACTCAATCACCTCATATCATGTTTCCCGCTAAAATAGATGTCAGATATTTTTTTTTCGAATAATCATCTATTTTTTTTTACTTTCATTTTTCGCAATATTTAATATTGGTTTTTGATATAATCTTTCATGATGTTTACTATCTTAACAACCTCATGTTGTGTTATCTGCTAATAATGGTAAATGAGGATTAAATAAAATAGATACAATAGTTTTTATGAGCTATTGTAAATTTTAATATTGCTCAGTTACATATCATTAATATGACAATACAGGCAGAATGAGAGATTTCTGCATTAGGATAAAAAAACCTATTTGATGGTCATCTATAAGTGTCCGATATCACCTCAAGAGTTCTTTTTTCAATGTTTTTATTATTTTTTTTGGCTTCTCATAGAATATTATGGCTTCGTCTATGCATTAGTTTGACTAAAAATTCAATGCTACATTATGTTTAGCAACAATGATAACTTCAATTTTTAAATTTGGAATCCATTCTGCTTATTTGGTTATTCGAAGTTAATATAAAAACAATTCAAAATTTTCTACTAAAGAATATGTCGAATTACATGGTTATTTTTTTACTTTAATTTATAAAATAAAAAATAACCATGTCAGTTGACTTAAAAGTACATGTTGCTATAGCTGGTACTAATTTTAGAAATGTAAGGAAATTTCTGTTGCATAATTTTGAGACACGAAATTCAACTCTAATGAAAAGAAATAAAACTCTATCTCAATTGCAGGCTTCACATCAGTGTAGTTGTAAAGAACAATTCGTTGTTAAATTATCAACCTTATTTGATAACGGTTAAAGGTGTTAATATTTTGTATAAATGTTTTCAAATGCGTCATAATTTCGTGTTTCCGAAGTACAGTTAATAATTTCACTTCCACTCGTATAGCCCGGATAGCTCAGTCGGTAGAGCATTGGACTTTTAATCCAAGGGTCCAGGGTTCAAGTCCCTGTTCGGGCGGCAACTTTTTTTGAGTTCATATTTTATTTGTAATATAGTTTTTATATATTTTTTTAAATGTTTTGCTATTTCTTGTTAATTAAAAAAAAAAAATTAATATATTTATTTTCTACTTTGTTTTTTAATATTTGGGTTTTGTTTTCAGGAGCTTTGCATACTATTCGCTTAAAGAAAGGATACCAGTTATATTGACAAAAATAATCGATTACTTATCAAGAGAGGCGTCTAACATTAAATCTGCCAATGGCGCGGTATGTATTCAGTGAACTGTATAAAATATATTATTTTCGTATAAAAACTTAAATTTTTTGATCTTATTTTCATACTTACTATATTTTTTTAGTGTTTCGTATGTATTTCGTATATTGTTGGTAGAATGTATAAAAAATCAACTCTTTTGTCTTGGTAACATACATAATGTAGTTGAATGATTTTTTTTTACAGTCGGATGAAGATCTTAGAAACTTTATGCAATCTGTGGTAAAATTGAAGAACGATTTAGTTACCAATAAAGATTATGACCCATTTACCGTAGATACGGAAAATGCAAAAAAATGGAACATGTGGATTGATGATCAAGAAAATAAGAAATATTTCAATAATACTTGGATGTTTTCTGAGTGTTATTTGTATAGAAAGCTTAGAGAAGGTTGTGAATTAACGTAAGTGGAAAAAAATTTGATTCTAATTAGCACTGCTGTGTAAATACAAAAGTTGTTACAGCGCCATCTATCTTGTAATCCAAAAACTGTAACAGCGCCACCTAGTTTGTAATTAGTCATCAGACAATTTTTCTTTTACTAATAGATGACGTTAAATTAAATATCAGTGAAACATTTTCTTTTGTCGATTCAAAAGTAATAAGAGAAAAAATATGATAAACTTTGATTCATATTGAAATGATTTAATTTAATAAGAACATAAATGTTCAGCATTATCTAGACACGCGGTAGCGTGTCAAGCCAAGTTTCAGATTCACATTAATTATGTTCTGCTGCTGCCTGACAGATGGCGTTGTAATACACTTTCTTAAATTGCAGAAAGGGTCTGCAGAATTTCGATTATTTTGAAGCCCAGAAGAAGAGTGCTTTTGACAACAACGTAGAGTTGATGTGTATAGTCGCTGACAAAATGGTAACAATGGTCAACAAGTCGGAGAAGGACAAACGGAAAGCCGATTTCATAACTTTGTTGAAGGTATGCGATTCAGTTTAATTAAATTTTTACACACAATTCAGCAGTTTACCAGTCAAAAACCATACTTATCTATAAATTCGTATTATAAATGAAATCCACAACAATATAGATATTTTTTCGTGTCAGTTCAGTGAACTCGCAAGGATGACTTTATATTATGTTATAAGATAGATTAGGCCGTAATTTATTGTTAATGTGTTTTATTTTATTGTTTTTGTATTGTTTGTTTTTGTATGTATTTTTTATTACACACCAACAAGGGTGTGTGTCTGTTTATGTTTTTATGTTTTTAATTGTATTTTTATATTAAATGCCTCACTAACGCATTGGATTAGTCTGTAATGTTAGTGTTAAGGATAATAAATAAATAAATAATTTTGTATGAAATCGCAATATCTAACGTCATAATGTTTTACGTCAAAAATTATATCTATTTAATTATTTGAGGTTAATGTTACGACGATATTTTATCGTACGTAAATATGTGTTTTCTGAAATAGATAAAACTTTTTGGTAGGTATACTCGTACAATACGGTAGTTTCCAACTAGTCAAATTCAATACTTTTATCCAAATGTCAAAAACGATTCATTTCTATGAAACTTTAAATCATGAAGTCTTTCGATTCTATCGATAGATCGATGAATAAAAATGTAGTTATTTTTCGATATTTTATTGTAGGTACTGAAACGTCGAATTAATATATTTTTACCTAGGAAACTACCTAAATGTACAATCCGTGTAAGTTTTTTAAATTTTAAATACTAAATACCCATTTTTTATATTACAGATATGCCTATGGGCGAACAAATGCGACCTTTCCCTCTCTCTAGGGTCCCAAGTGAACCTGATCCAAGCGGCTAAGGATGCCACGGAGAAGTTACGTCAGAGTCCCCCACCTCCGCCTCCCCCTACAAAGGGTAAGGGCAAGGAGCCCGCCCAACAAGCACCCCTTGTCATCAGCCACGATCCGTTTCAAATGATTTTGGATTTAAAAGATAAGGTGAGAAAGTTTAAATTTATTGAATTAGTTACTTTTCTTAGAATTTTGTATGAGATGTGACGTCATATTTTATGTGTAAAATAATGAAACTTATCTGAAAAAAAAAAACGAAAAGAGACCAAAGAAAATATGGATGGATTGTGTGAGAAGTAATATGGAAGACAGAGGAGTTAGCGATAGCGTGACAGGTGACAGGACAGAATGGAAGAAAAAACATATTGCGCCGACCCCAAATAAAACAACAGAGTGACACTAAATTTAATTGAAATCGTTATTTTTACGAAGTTAGTTACTATTCAACAAAATACTGACACTTTTTATATTAAACTAGCTTTTGCCCGCGACTCCGTACGCGTGGAATAGTGACTTCCAGATTTTTGGTATAAATACTATCCTATGTCCTTTCTCGAGTTCCAAACTATATCTGTACCAAATGTCATAGAAATCGGTTCAGTAGTTTAGGCGTGAAGAAAAGACAGACAGATAGACAGACAGAGTTATTTTCGCATTTATATTATGAGTTTGGATTATTTTGATTGACATTCAAAAGTGCTTTTAATATCATTTGACATTAACTTTACTAGTAGAAACAATTAAAATTGACCGAGTCTATTACCCATTAAGATCTGATTAGTGAAATAACCTAATATTTTTCGTATACAAACAAATTATTAGAAATACAATACAGTTAAACCAGGAGTAAAACTTTCGAGAACGCTGGATTGATTTCGGGTTACACAGGGGCTCATAAAAACAATGAACAGTGATTTCATTTTTGTAAATGGACCACGAAACATCACTCTTAGACGTCAACATTACATGAATATATGTAGATGAAGCCGGAGACATCTAATGCTAATGAGATTCAGTAAATCTCACAACAATTTGCGAATGTACATATATACTTATGTTTTTCACACTTAATTCTAATTAACAATTTTTTTTCAGTTGTTGGTGGACGACTCGGCTAAAATAGCCGATCAAGTTGTGACCAAATCCGAAGCAATGATGAAGGCTATAAATGCGGTATGTATATAGCTCTCTTATTATACTTCTGTGTATACAGGTGTTGTTTTGAACGAGGATCATAATCAAGGACCTGATTCTGGTGGTCAAATAAAACCACTTTTTTTTCATAAAACCAATATGAAAATTTCAAAATTTATTTTTTAATCTATAAGCTGTTGCGATTTGTATGAGGAAATACCTACATTTATTATTTAGATTTTCATATTGGTACCATGGAAAAAGTAGTTGTAATCAATGATGTATAAATCTATAGATACGTTGTCCGCGCTCTAAAATGACAACATGAAATGAAGGCAATTGACAACATCGCGCTTAGTTACGCACCAACCTGCCGCGCGACGCTACGTTTGTTTTTAATTTATATCGTGTGTGTTATCCTGTGCGAAACATAAGTAAAGCATGCCGTCGTGTGTGTTCAGACGATGTACAAATTATACTCCAAAAGTTAAAGACAAAAATGTGTCATTTCATGCGTAAGTTCACCAAACAACCTATTTTTATTTTATTTTTTCCGACGCGGCGCCCGCCATCTTATGGCGGCCATCTTATGAAAATGTAGTTACTATTGCTTATCCTGTGATGAGATGTATATTTATCTCCCTCTAGCAAAGGCATTCCACTATATGATGTCATATTTTCTTTCCCTTTCTTTACTAGTAGAAGTAGTTATCTAGTATTTTCGCCGTTTTTAAGCGCCGCGATGTTGGTTCATGACGTGTCTATATATAATACGTCATTGGTTGTAATACGGTAGTTTCCAACTAGTCAAATTCAATACTTTTATCCAAACGTCAAAAACGATACTTTTCTATGAAATTTGTATGAAAAAATGAGTCGTCAGTAGCTAGTCGTAATAATTAGATAAAAAATCTAAAACTTAGTGTATCGATCGATCGATCGCTGAATAAAAGCATAGTTGATTTTCAATATTTTATTGTATTGAAACGTCGAATTAATTTATTTTTGACCTAGGTAACTACCGAATCGATCACCAAAATCGGCTCCTTCAATAATTATGTCCCTCATTTAAAATCACACCATGTACATATATTACAAACGTGAAGACTGTTTAATCGCTTTAATCTCGAAAACGACTGGAACAAATTTCAAAAATTTGTTCTGTTCGGAAACCCTTTTAGACTATTTTGTTCTTGATATTCGACACGATCAATAGGCGTTGACAACCTGTAGAAGGCTGATGATGATGATGATACATTTATCTTACAGAACACAACGTTTAAGTTTAAATGCAGTTGCCATAGGCTAGCCACGGCGGCCGGCGTGCCATTATGTAAACAAGAAGAAGTTAGTATTTACCTAATCCTATATACTCGTATATTAGAAGATATATAGAAGTAGATGTTGTTTAGTGTAGGGGAGGTATTCGGCACGACCAGAGTGATAGACCATGGTCTAAACCACAGCGTTGTCTTTCGTCGTGAAAGTGAAACAACTGGACACCCCCCCACCCCCCCTCTTCCCTTTCGCCAAACCCTAAGTCTCCAAAACCCCAATCCGCAAATGGCCGGGACTGTACTCATAACCATGGGTGGCGTCTATTACTTCACATTAGGTGAAAGGTCTGTTCGTTTGCCACTGCATGCAATTATTACTCGTACTTTAAATTTTTTCTATATAGCAACCGACTTTCCACCACAGTGTTGTCAAGTGATGTCCTTGTGGAATTTTAACCTTGTGAAAGGACTTTGGTCGTTTGAATGACACTCACGTGCCTCTATCGGCACGATTAAAACATGTGCGTATACCTCACCATCTCCAACGAAAGTGCAGTTTTTTTTGGGGGAGAAAATCATGAAATCTCGTCTTTCGCTTTGCGTTGGAGAGTGTCAGATTCTTACTGACTAAACCGCTCCGTTTCTTCTTCTGCTTTAGACCGATTTCTTAGTACCTTATCGCACTTGCTCCGCAACTCCGGCTAATAAAAGCTCAGCTACGATTGTCAATTTTACTTTCAACGTAACCGTCACATATGACAAACGCATTCTTAACGTCAATGTCACAAATACTTTAGTGTCAAATGATTTACCTATGTCAAAAGTCAAACTCGTTAATGCTGATTTTGGAGTTTGGACTACATGATTGAAATACATATGCTAATGGACTTACCTTTTTTGTGAGGCGAAATATGTATGGGATAGCTAAGCTTCGGCACGAAAGGGTCGGCTCGACCGGGATGATACCACGGTCTCACAGAAAACCGGCGTGAAACAACCACAGCGTTGTGTTTCACCGCGTGATTGAGGTTATTGGAGGCCTAATTCTTCCCCTCCCCCATCCCTTCCCAATCCCTAAATATCCAAAGCCTAAAAGGCCGGCAACGCACTCATTACTTCTTCCGCCGATGCAGGTGTCAATGGGTAGCGCTGATTGCTTACCATCAGGTAATCCGTCAGCTCGTTTGCCGATCTTTACCATAAAAATGAGATCAAATGACTCGCCTCGCCCTGGGTGCGATGATAGGGAGTGTTATACTGTTACTGACTAAAAACCGACCAGTTCCTTCTCCTGCTCTACGCCGAGACCAGAGATTCAAAGATGAGGATGGTGGCACGCCGGAAGAAAAAGAGGAACTGAAAAGTATCCGATCTATTTCTATCTCTCTCATGGTGCCCTGTGCCAGTTATCTATGAGGAAAGAGACAGGGCAGACCGAAAACAAAGGCTAAAACATACAAATATTAATTTTGATTTAGAGACTAGCTTTTTTATATTCGTTTCTCAGTAAGAAAGTATCATCAATGTATAACAGAGTTAGAGAGAGTAGAATAGTAAAGTAGAGTAGAGTATTTTCACCGAATTGATTGGTTAATGTTAATGTTCTCTTTTTTCTCGCTCAGTGTAGTACAGTCTTTTTATTGAAGCAATGATTGAACTTACAGCTCTGCAGTAAATTATATTACGACGAATACACTGCCATCTAGCGAGTTTTAGACTTACGGTTACTAGCCAGGTTTGTAATAACTTCAACTTATATAGGGACAGGACTAAAAAATCGATTTTTCAGTTTACATGGATTTCGTGTAACGATCTAGTCGTATATATTTTTTCCACAATAAAATATTTTTTTCGACCCATCTATTTCGGATCGTCATCCCTACTTTTTTGGACGGTTATATTAAACGTGTATAATCGTAGGTGCCACCTCCTGCGGAAGAAGAGAAGACAGAGAAGGAAGGGAAAGAAGGAAAAGAAGGAAAGGAAGGGAAAGAAGAAGCCCCCAAGCAGATACCCTGTCCTGCTAAAATGACCGTACCTCAAGCTGTCATGTTCGGTAAGTTTAACTTCTAAAACGTTTAGAAATAGGTTTTTGCCGAGCATTTAAAATAAATATAAACATATATCAATTTTATTTTATGGAATAAGTCTGCAAACGAGTAGCCGGTTTACCGGATTACCTGATGGTAAGCAATCGGCCATAGCCTTTTGAGGATTAGGGTTTTGGATATTTAAGGATTGCGGAGGGATAAGGGAGAGGAAGGATGGGACCTCCGGTAACAGCAGTCACACGGCGAAACAACCCTGTTGTTGTTTCACGCCGGTTTTCTATGCGACCGTGGTATCACTCCGGTCGTGCCGACCCATTCGTGCCGAAGCATGGAAAATAAATGCATTCTTAGGGATATAGATTACCAGACCCGAGCGTACGGCGCGTAGCGTTCCGCGCGCGCCTCAAAGAGCCAATAGACCACCACAGACGGGGCCCTAAAGGGCTGATGTTCAGCCGGGGTGGAGGGGTAAGCGCAATGGGTACCGCGACCTCGGCACAGAGCAGGAGAAGGAACAGGGGGGTTTTTAGTCAGTCAGAGTCTGACACTCCCTCCCGCCCGACCCTGGGCAGGAGAAGTCATTTTATGATTTTCCCCTCACAAAAAAAAGGGATATAGATTAACCTATTTTGTTTTATATCATGTAGTGATTATTTTATTTTGTCCTCAGATATTGTATGTGACAACACCGGGTATGAGTTGTTCGCGGATCTGTGTCTCGCCCACTTCTTGGTGGCACAGAAGATAGTTCAGAAGGTAATTTACATAGAAATTATTATTATGTTGTTTATGTTGTCCGTCCGTACGTCAATGCAAGGGTGCTAACTGGGTTCTCATGGTAGCAAACTTATACTGAGAAGGTATTTGGCTTATTCCCTTTAGTCCTTTCTTTAGGACTTTTATGTATTTTTAATACCTATTTAGCTTAAAGTGTGGGAGAGCCATGCTTCGGCACGAATGGGTCGGCTCGACCGGAGTGATACCACGGCCTCACAGAAGACCGGCGTGAACACACAGCGTTGCGTTTCGCCATGTGAGTGAGGTTACCGGAGGCACAATCCTTCCCCTCCCCCAATCCCTCCTCAATCCCTAAATCTCCAAATCAATCAATCCCTAAAAGGTCGGCAACGCACTCGTAACTCCTCCGTTGCGGGTGATGGACACCCGCACCCGGGCGGCGCTGATTGCTTACCATCAGGTAATCCGTCTGCTACTTTGCCGACCTATTACATAAATAAAAAAATATTATTTAATATTTAAAAAAAATCTATTGCTGTCTTGTTGTATATTTGTTATATTTATGTTTGTGGATTGGGATTCGAGAGACGTGCTTATGCTTTACATGATGGTAAGCAATCGGCGCCGCCCATGGACACCCGCAACACCAAAGGAGTTACGACTGCGTGGCTGGCCTTTTATCAATCAGGATTTCGGATATTTAAGTATTGGGGAGGGATGGAGGGCGGGGTAGGGTTAGGCCCCGGTAACCTCTCTGCACACACAGCGAAACATAACGCTGTAGTTGTTTCACGCCGGTTTTCTGTGAGGCCGTGGTATCACTCCGGTCGAGTCGACCTATTCGTTCCGAAGCATGGCTCTCCCACACTTAGTTGCTATGTGACCTTTGTCACATCGTCATTAGTATAAAAAACAGTAACTATTTTTACTGCGATTATATCAATCCGCCGACCCATTTCGTGCCGAAGCTTGGCTCTCCAGTTAAAACGTAAATTGTATGTAATTTATTATTTTCAGGTCAGATTCCATGTAAAGGACATGCCGTGGTTTATTTCAGACGTTACTGAAAAGGATTTCAGGTATTTTACATGACATTTATTTATTTAATATATTATGTAGTCATAGTATTAAATTAAATAAAATCTAACTAATTTTCTTTTTCTACCCATTTGTAATCGTCATCATCATCATCATCAAGCCCATAAGTGCCTACTGCTGAGCAAAGGCCTCTTCTCACACGGAGAAGGTTTGAGCTTCAATCAGCACGCTTGCTCAATGCGAGTTGGCGATTTCAAACTTATAATTCGAAAATATAAGTCCAGGTTTCCTCACGATGTTTTCCGTCACCGTATGTCAGTGGTGTCTAAATATTAATAGAAAGTACATACCTATAACTCGGAAAAAGTCACATTGGTGCTTGTCAGGTTTCGAACCCTTACCCCATGCATGAGAAGCTGACGCCTTAATCACCAGCCCACCACAATCATCCTTATAAATATTAATTCTTTCTTCAATTATAAATTTGTCTTTTTTGAAATTATGACGATAATCTATTGAAGGTAGACATATAAACAGCCGGGGTTGCAAAGCATTTTTTTTGTCAGGGGAAATCAAATGATCATCAAATAACTTATCCCGCCCAGGGTGGGTTGAGAAGGAGAGTCATTGGATGCTTTGTCCCCCTATTTATTTGTTTATTTATTGATCAAACAGGTACAGGCAGGGGTCGAAAATGCAATTACACTCTACCAATTTTAAAATGACATTTTTTTTTTTTTTTGTAGAAAAAGTTCAATGTTTCACAGCCAGTTTGTTCAATAATTTAGATTGTATGCTATAAATTAAAGCAGTCCTCAACCATTGACTCTATACTACAAAGATATTTTGGTTATTTTAAAATTTGTAGAGAGCAATTGCATTTTTGACCCCTGACTGTACATAGGTAGTTTTACGACGTAAAAAATGGCCGACGAAACTATACACATAAGCAGTTTGTCTGTCGGATCAAAATTTGTTAATAATAAACCTATAATATAAATGTTATCTTACGAACTAAGTTCACAATAACATATTACCTATGTAAAAAATATAGTGTACTTTTTCAGTTAATTATTAAAAAGTAGAATGCGATGTGTATTTTTGTTATTTTCAGATATGTCATCGATGCTTGTACTAACAGCAACTTCAGTTCCGAGGCATCTTCCGGTACGTCTAACATAAAAATATCCTGACATCTCCTAGGACAGTAACTATGAACAAAATAATATTGAATACAACGACTTAGGGCTGATTTTTCAATGGTTAAATAAAAGTTACCTGGGGAATAATTATGATGCTGTCGCGTCACAATGTTTGTATGAGACAGTGACAGCAACAATTTTATTCATCGGATAACATTTATCTGGCTATTGAAAAATCAGGCCTAATTTTTTTTATGTAGTAGTTCGGCAAATTAGCAGACGGATTACCTGATGGTAAGCAATCAGCGCCGCCCGGGTGCGGGTGTCCATCACCCGCAACGGAGGAGTTACGAGTGCGTTGCCGACCTTTTAGGGATTAGGGATTTGGAGACTCAGGGATTGAGGAGGGATTGGGGGAGGGGAATGATTGGGCCTCCGGTAACCTCACTCACACGGCGAAACACAACGCTGTGGTTGTTTCACGCCGGTTTTCTGTGAGGCCGTGGTATCACTCCGGTCGAGCCGACCCATTCGTGCCGAAGCATGGCTCTCCCACGCTTAAATCAAATCATTTCTGGTGCGCAATAAGTGATTTTTCTCTCTCTTTATCCATATATTTTCAAGGAGCTACAGAAGGCGATTCAGGGGAGGCTAAGATAATCAAGGCTGACAACCTGAGGACTCTAGGTCAGCAGTGGAACCAATATCTTACTGACGGCGTCTTCCAGGTTATGGTGAGTGCAAAATATTTATTTTTGACTACTTTTTTATGGGTATACACACGGTTTACCTGATGGTAAGCAATCAGTGTCGCCCATGGACACCCGCAACAACAGAGGAGTTACTAGTGCGTTTTCTGCCATTTGGGGATTAGGGATTTGGAGATTTAGCGATTGGGGAGGGATTAGGGGAGGGGAAGGATTGGGCCTCTGGTAACCTCACTTACACGACGAAACAACGCTGTGGTTGTCGAAAAACAATCGCTGGTTTTCTGTGAGGCCATGGTATCACTACGGTGGAGCCAACCCATTCGTGCCGAAGCATGGCTATAGAAAAGGTCATTTGTGGGTAGAAAAGATAATTTGTCCCACAAATGATCTTTTCTAAATCATTCTAAATCATCACACAAAAATAAATATCACAATGAGACTATGTCTTAAATGGGTACGGGTAATGCCCAATCCTTAAAATACCGCTAATGCTCTTGTAACTCGGAGCTGATTGCTTACCATCAGGTAATTCATCAGCTAGTTTGCCATTCTATGCCATAAAAACATTGTCAGTATTTTTTTTACGTAATAAGATATATGTCGTGGTGGCCCGGAGGTTAAGGAGCCCGCTTCTCATGCATGAGGGTGTGGGTTCGAAACCTGGCAAATACCAATGTGACTTTTTCCGAGTTATATGTACTTTCTATGATTATTTAGACACCACTGGCATACGGTGAAGGTAAACATCGTGAGGAAACCTGGACTTATAATTTCTAATTGTAAGTTTGAAATCGCCAACCCGCATTGAGCAAGCGTGGTGATTAATGCTCAAACCTTCGCCGTGTGAGAAGAGGCCTTTGTTCAGCAGTGGGCACTTATAGGCTGATGATGATGATGATGATGAATAGGACCGTAAACCATGGCTAGGCTTTCAAAACTATTCATACATATTTGAAAAATGTTTCACAGGCTGAAGAATTCTGGACGTACCCCCACGTTTATAGGGACATGAAGAAATACGACCCCAACTTATATCGCAAACTGCAATACGCTGTAGCGATAATGTTCAAAGGGGACCTCAACTATAGGAAGCTTTTGGGAGACCGAAACTGGAACCCTACAACTGGATTTGAAGCTTCGTTGCAAGGTGAGCAACTGATTTTTTTATCAAGCAGAGTAACCACGGGCTCAGAGAAAACCGGCGTGAAACAACCACAGCGTTGTGTTTCGCCGTGTTAGTGGGGTTACCGGTTAATAATCAAAGAGCTTCACTAGAAACGCTAAGGTCCTGGGTCTTTCGATGGGTCCTAGGTTTTTCAAAAGGTCTTGGGTCTTTCAAAGGGTCTTGTGTCTTTCGATTAGTCTTAGTCTTTTTGATGGCTCTGGGCATTTCGAAGGGTCTTGGGTCTTTCAATGGGTCTTGGGTGTTTCACAGGGTCATGGGTCTTTCTAAGGGTCGTGAGTCATTCGATGCGTCCTGGGTCTTTCGATAGGTCCTGGGTCTTTCTATAGGTCTTGGGTCTTTCGATAGGTCCTGGGTCTTTTGATAGGTCCTGAGTCTTTCTAAGGGTATTGGGTTTTCGATGCGTCCTGGGTCTTTCAAACGGTACAGGGTCTATCGAAGTTTGCCTTTAAGGCCCTAAGGAAGGTTTGTAGGCTTCATCTTTTTTCTTTTTGACATATAAATTGACGTGTAAAAGTGCCGTTTTATGGCCTATTTGCAAAAATAAATTCATTGTTTCATTGTTAGGTATAATAACATCCATTAAATTGTAGCATTCCATCCGTGACAAGACGGGGTGGGTCGCTAGTTTTCCATATAATTGTTATAAATGTAATATTTAGTACAATATTATTTTTGATTGTAGGTTTCATCCCGGCCCCCATAATAGCGGTTCGGACGGTCAAGGCCGAGCTTATCAGCGGACTACCGAAGGGCAAGTGGGACCAGCTAACTGCTGCTGATGAGAAGTGGATGCAGAGTGGGGATTATGGGTATGCCACTGTATTTACTCGCCTTAGAGATATGAGAGATATCCTACTTACATAGTAAATGTGAAAGTTTTTGAGTTTTTTTTAGGCATCGGTCGGCAAACGAGTATACGGATTTCCTGATGGTAAGCAATGAACGCCCATCGACACTCAACACCAAAAGAGTTACGAATGCGTTGCCGGCTTTTTCGGATTAAGAGTTTCGGATATTTATGGATTGGGCAGGGATGGGGGGAGGGGATGGATATGGAATCCAACGTTGTGGTTGTTTTATGCCGGTTGTCTGTAAGGCCGTAGTATCATTCCGGTCGAGCCGACCCGTTCGTTTCGCCGAAACTTGGCTCTTCCACATTTAAGATAAATGTATGGTTGTTATTCTATCACGCAAAAACGCCTTTACCAATTTGGTAGAAATTAGGTTTGTGGATTAACTAAAAGGCTGCTTTACATCAAGCAAGCTAAAAGGATGCTTCACATAAGTGTGGGAGAGCCATGCTTCGGCACGAATGGGTCGGCTCGGCCGGAGTGATACCACGGCCTCACAGAATACCGGCGTGAAAAAACCCACAGCGTTGTGTTTCACCATGTGAGTGAGGTTACCGGAGACCCAATCCCTGCCCTTCCCCTACCTCGTCCCAATCCTTATATCCGGAATCCCCATCCCCAAAAGGCCGGCAACGCACTCGTAACTCCTTTGGTGTTGCGGGTGTCCATGGGCGGCGCCGATTGCTTACTATCAGGTAATCCGTCTGCTCGTTTGCCGAATTATAACATAAAAAAACAGCATGCGGGCGAGGTCGCGGGTGGAAGCTATTACATAATAAACCTTTGAGCGTACGGCACGTAGCGTTCCGCGCGCGCCTCAACAGCCAATAGACCACCACAGACGGGGCCCTATAGGGCTGATGTTCAGCCGGGGTGCGGGGCAGGTGAAGCAACGGGGTGGTGTTTAGTGGTAGGGGTGGTGTTTAGTCAGTAACTCTGAAACTCCTTGCCTCACCCAGGGCGACACAAGTCATTTTGATGATTTTCCCCTCTAAAAAGAGTCCAGTTTCGACACTGTGAGGTCTGCTCGGCGAAATTTTTTTATAAACCTACTTGTATTGATTCGTTGATTTTGCCCGTTTCTGGGCGGAATTTAAGGGTTTTTGATTTAATATGGGATTGGGATGAGGAGGAAGGATTGGGCCATCGCTTCTTTAAGATCTCTAAAAGAAAATGTATTATTAATTTCTTTGTTTTTTCAGTGTGATTCAGTTCTGTGCTAAGGGCGAGGCGCTGAAGGTGTCCGACCGTCCCTGCATGGACTACTGCAAAACCTGCTTCGGAGTCACATGTCCTGAACATACAGATATATGATCAATTGTAAGTATATTCATATAGCATACAGTATACTAGCTTTTGCCCTCGACTCCGTTCGCGTGGAATAGTGACTTTATGCAGATTTTTGGTATAAAAACTTTTCTATGTCCTTTCTAAACTATGTCTGTAACAAATTTCATAGGAATCGGTTAAGTAGTTTAGGCGTGAGGAAAATACAGACAGACAGACTTACTTTCGCATTTATAATATTAGTTTGGATTTGGATGTTATATTTTTGGTACACCATTTATTTTAACCATATTATCAAGAATATAATATAAGAACATAATAGAATAGTTTTTAAACCAAAAATCTGCAGGAAGTCACTATTTTACGCGAACGGATTCGCGGGCAAAAGCTAGTGTTAATATAAATCTCGTATTTGAGAACGAACTAAGTGAGAAATTTAATATTATTGTACCGACCTATTTTTTATGACGTCTTTAGTCATATTCCTTGCACTTAATAAATCGTGTTTGATGTTTTTTATTGTTGGTGTATCCAAGAGCTTAATTTGCATGAAAAAATGTCAAGCAGTTTTTGAGTTTAAAAGTAATAAGAAAGGTGGGGAAAGCTTTTGAATCATTATCATCATCATCAGCCTATAAGTACACACGGAGAAGGTTTGAGCATTAATCACCACGCTTGCTCAATGTGGGTTGGCGATTTCAAACCTAAAATTAGAAATTATAAGCCCAGGTTTCCTCACGATGTTTTCCTTCACCGTATGTCAGTGGTGTCTAAATAATCATAGGAAGTACATACAGGGTGTAAAAAGACACTTAACGAAGCCGTTAACTACGCATACTTCAGTTCTAACAAAGTAGCTTTACGCTAAAATTATCACTGGGAAAAGACTTTTATATTTAGGTATAAAAAAAACAACTTAATTCGGCGCAATGTAAAGCAAACGGGCTTCGTGTCAGCTTAGCATTAAAACGCTGTAATAAGTACGTAGGTCGACGTTTTACTTCGCAACAACAAAACAATTCTGTAAAATAAAAATCCTACAGAGTTGCACGATGTTTTTTGTGCGGGTCTGCATTTATTTATTACGTACATTACTGTTCGTAACTTCAAATGCGTAATTTATTCAGAAAAATCTAAAATTCAGGTAATGTTTGTTTGGAAAAAAGTTTTGTAATAATACTTAGATTTCGATTGCGCAAAAAAAGAAAAATTAAAAATGCATCTTTGACCTTCAATATCTCGAGAACCCTTGGAGTCCCAGCTATGATCTTAAAGAAAAAAATGATCCAAATAATGGGTAGAATACGTGGCTTTCGGCTTCGTTAAGTGTCTTTTTACATCCTGTATAACTTGGAAAATATTCTTTTAATAATATTCTCTTTTTTGTTTTCAGGTGTCGACTGAACTCATTTTTTGTTGTTTATCTTTATATAAATAAAGTTTTTACACTATACTTTGTATTTTGGGCACGGCCAGCTTCTACATCACTTTTCATAAATAAATCTAAATGTTATTTACTTGTTATTTCTTATTTACAAATTATGAATTAAATGTTTTTTGAATTTTGATTGTTTTCTTTTTTTATTAACCTACTTATCTTTACTTCATGGGATGTATTTAATTGTTTATTTTTATATCTTACTAGCTACTCTTGCTCGGTTTCACCCGCTGCTCGGCTCCATTTAATCTTAGCGGGATGTTTTATAGCCTATAGCACTCAGGAATATTTTAGCTATCTATCAGTGAAAGAATTTTGGCAATCCGACCAGCGGTTTCAAAGATTACCCCCTACATACAAACTGCTTACAAATTTTACCTCGTTATAATACTAGTATAGACTTGGTTGTTTCTCCGAAAAACCGTATCTTTTAGTTAAAAAAACTTTATCCTCCCGGGTTGTTTTAAGCATCTTAGTACCTAACTTATTATTCAATATTTTTAATCGTTTGCTTGTAAGCAGTGGAGCGATTTAATTCAATAAAATCATTATTTGTGTTTTAATCGGCATAATCGTTAATTTTAGGTTGAGAATATATCATCGTTATTTTTTATTAAATTAATGTGAAGAATCACCCGCTCATGAAACTGTTACGAGGTGATTCGAATGGTTTCAAGCCCTTCCTGGAGTCCATAGTTTGAGCGCTACTAGAAACTAGTCAGGTTAACTTGTAGAACGTATGAATGTTATAAACGACATAAAAACACACAGGCTAAACATCACATACTAGGCGCTAAGCAAATAATGAAACCGCCTGAAAGTGACTAGTGTGACATTTAATAGAAAATAATACACAATAATATTATAAAATCATTTATTTACAAAATAATGAATAAGGCGAACTAACGTACTAATGGAATTCATAGGTAGGCACATATAAGACAACCATAGAGTGGTTTTTTATAAAAATAAGTGAGTATTTCGGTATATCATTCGTCCTTTCACATTTCTATAAGATTAGGTACTGGCCATTCAAGTTAAAGACAATATATAACGTAGGTATATAGAAGATACAGTATTTTATATAGATTTTTTCCCTATCAAACCTACAACTAAATAAGCGTTTTGTACATTAGTCTTGTAGTGACTCATTTCCATTAAATACAGCGTAAGTCGTCGTCAAAACATAACATCAAGAAATCGTTGGCAAAAATGAAAATATTAATTTTTCAATTACTTACATACCTTTCAAAATAATAGCATAGATTTTCTATAAACAATATACACAGGAAATATACGAGTAATAAGTATACGGAACAACTAATAAAAGTAATATTTTCATTTCTGACAGCAATATAACCTCAAAAACATTCCCGCCAAATTCTGTTCACAGATAAAATATACTAAATGTCAAATTACGTTGCCACAATTTCACACTTTGTTTATTTTATCAGGTCCATGGCATTAAAATTATTAATATTTTTTCGTTACATTAACTTCGTGATTTATTTCAACAAACACAAAAATCTACCTAAATAAACTCAATGCCAATTTAAAGTCTAAAAAATATTAAATATTTTAGACTTCAGACCTCTTTTCGTTGGTAATAGCCGTTTAGTATGGGCCTCCTTGGCCTTGGTAGCCGTTGCCGTTGCCATTGTAGCCTGATTGGCTATTTCTGTCGTAGCCTCCCTGACCAAGACCGGTGTCTTCGTAGGAGATCTTGGGTTTGTAGCCATCCTGGTCAGCCTCGTATTGAACGGTCTGTGAATGAAAAGAAATGTTTATTGTCCATAGTAAGTAATATCAACTTCTAGAAGAATCAAACTGAAAATACATGTAAAAATTCTTCATCAATTTCTTCCTGCGATCTCTTGATTAAGGGTGGGTTTCCACTTAACCTTTTGCAACATGAATATTCGAGCCTTGTCCAACGCAATCACGCTTGATGAACCTCTTTCATAAATCTTTTGGCATCCATTTCTCCAATCTGACTCAACTATCAGATGTTAACGTAAAAGAGTTATGCTTGGACCATTTTGCACGGCGGTATCAACGCACTCGCAAAAAGACCCAATCTTCAGCGTCCCCAAATCCTAATCCTAAAATGCCCTGGTTTGTTGCGAACGTCGTTGATTGCTTGCCATCAAGTGAAAGGCATGTATCTCCATTTGCCTTCTTAAAAACATTCTCTCACCTGTTTCCTGCCATCAGGAAGGAGCACGTAGTACAAGCCCTCAGCCCTGTCTCCCTGTCTGGATTCCCTGTGTCCAAAGTCATTACCGGACTGATCATCCTTCACCATGTATTCGAAGTTATAGTTGGCAGGTTCCTGGAATTTGATTACGTTAGATTAAGGCCCTGTTTTATAATGTTTTAGCCTTAAGGTATAAGATAAATTTAAATTCAGAACCTAATCTTGACTGGAGTGAGACCATGGCATCACAGAAAACCTTTGTGAAACAATCACAGCTTTGTTTCGCCGAAGGCCCAATCCTAGCTCTACCCCCATTCCTCCCTAATCCCTAAATCTCCAAAATCCTAATCCTCAAAAGGCCCGCAACGCACTCGTAACTCTTCTGGCGTTGCGGGTGAGCATGGACCGTGCATTGCTTATTATCAGGTACCTAATATCTTATCATTTGACGACACATCACATAAAAAATATGTGTGAAATGCCACATAACTCTACATCATGATTACCAGAAGAAAGTCATTTTGTATAAGAGAAAATATTGGATTAACTAAAAATCGCGGGTTACTCACGTGTAAATATTGAGAAAAGCTCTACTAGTTTCGAACCACAGAGGGGTTCTTCCTCATGAGCAGCGTGAGTAACCCGCGATTTTTAGTTAATTTAGTATGTCTCACGATAGTTATTATAAAAACATAGAAACTATTGGTTCGATACACATCTCTACGCCAAGATTCATTTGTGAATGATAAGACTACTCACCCCATTGCTGCCATCATCAGCACCGTATCCGTTAGCACCAGAGCCAGGGGGCAAGTACTGACGGCTCTGTTCCTGTCCTCTGAAGGATTGACCACCGAAGGAACCGCCCTGGGAGTGACCTGGTGAATAATAAGTGGATAGAATGGTAAGTGGCTGGTAGATAATCTATACCAATATTATAGAGGTAAAATTTGTAAGTTTGTATGTAGGGGGTAATCTTTGGAACCGCTGGTCGGATTACCAAAATTCTTTTCACTGATAGATAGCTACAATGTTCCTGAGTGCTATAGGCTATAAAACATTACGCTACAATCAAATGGAGCTGAGCAGCGAGTGAAACCGCGTGAGAGTAGCTAGTAATACATATTATTATGTTTATGCACAGTTGCCAAAACATCATGCTTCGCCTTTTCATAGTTTTTGGACCTTAAGACAGAAGTACAAAGTTTGGAAATTTATTGTAGCGATACACATAGTAACGACAAAGTTCAACAGATGGCATCACAAGTCCTATATCATGAACGTGAAGTTTGTACGCAAATAAACACTGATTGAAAATCCCAACGTACAAATGTCGGGCAGTATCCCGCCAGGCTGGTCACTTCACCTGGTCGGAGGATCCTGTTTGTCCTTTCTTAGGGAACTTGTTCTCTAAACTATGAAGAAATTTTATCATATGAGCCATTGTAGAGGCTTACATTAGGGGGTAATTGTCAGTACAATTATTACAGTTATAGTCATCAGTACAATCATTAATGTCAATACAATTAAGTACATTACAGTATAATTAAAATTTACAAATTTTAATTGAATTAATCCATGTAATCTTTAAAAAAATTCATAGTCAAAACTTGTCATTTAAAAGTTCAAGTATGGTATAGTATGCCTTCTTAACCAAAAACTGTTTTAATGTATTTTTAAGGGCTTGCAAAATTGTGTTCATTCAATCTTGAATGTTTAGAGGTATGAGGAACAGGGTGGAAAGTTCCTCATCCTCCATTGAAAAGGGAGGATCCTCCGACCAGGCGAGGTGTTCGTGCCTGGCGGGCTACTGCCCGACGGTTGTTGTCGGGATATCTGTATAGGTGCTAATTGTGTGGAAAACTCTTATAGCGCGATGTAGACTCTTGCACGTGATTGGTGCTGTTGTTTATGTAGTGCGCTAGATGTCGCTACATCACTCCCCTCCGAGACCGGAGGTCGTTAGCTGGTTGAGACTTCTGTGAAATGCTTGTCGAGCCAGTTGATGGTTTCAGTGCGTCGAATCTGTCTGCGAAGATGCCCAGTGAGTCGGGTGGTGCAGTGCTGAAGAGTGGCTAGCTGCTGCGTCGACCAGGAGAGGGAGTACGTCTCTGCTTTGCTGACCGGCCGGTGCAGTACGCTGTGCCGAAGATTCTGATGAGGCTGTAGGTGCTGACCAGGAATGCGCGTTGGCTGCATGCTGGTGGTCAGGGAACCCGTTGTAGCCGTGGAAGCTGGCTGACTGTAGGATTCGCTGCTTGAAAGCTCGAGGAAGTGATGACGTCATCGCTATGACGTAGTTGCACGAAGGCTGCGTTGATGTTCATGTTCGGGGTCACCAGTTTAGAGGTATGATGATGATCACGTCGGGGTCACCAGTTTAGAGGTATGTGGAACAGGGTGGAAAGTTCCTCATCCTCCATTGAAAAGGGAGGATCCTCCGACCAGGCGAGGTGTTCGTGCCTGGCGGGCTACTGCCCGACGGTTGTTGTCGGGATATCTGTATAGGTGCTAATTGTGTGGAAAACTCTTATAGCGCGATGTAGACTCTTGCACGTGATTGGTGCTGTTGTTTATGTAGTGCGCTAGTTTATGTATATGTTTTATGTTTATGCGCTTGTTTATGTAGTCGCTACAAATGTATCAATCTGATAGTTTCTAATTAGTCAAGAAAATACCTAAACGAACTAGTAAAAACGATATTCTTCTATGAGTTTTGTATGAAATCGCGATATTATATGATGTCATACATTTTGACATGTCACACTCTTTGTAAAAGGAATCTGTATATGAAACTGATTTAAAAAGAGTAATTATGGAGTTTCTTGCTCGTTCTTCTCCATCGGAATCTACACTTTGGAACGAGCAAGTAGTTTCACTAAGAGGACTGACCGACAGACTGACACTATATCTTAAAAATTTTGTTTGACGGTCAAAAGTGCCTGTAGGGGTCTAATTGGAATAAATGATTTTTGATTTTTTTGACTTTTGACATAATGTTTTTACGGGAGTGTCGTGGTTGCGAAGGTTAAGTCGCCCACTTCTCAGGTGGGTGAGAGTTTGAAACCTGGCAAGTACAAATGTGTCATCTTCCGAGTTAAACTTACTTTCTATGATTATTTAGATACCACTGACATACGGTGAAGAATACATCGTGTGGAAACTTGGACTTAATCATTTATAACTAAGTCAGCGTGGAGATTAAGAAACTAACTAATAAATAAAAAGTGACTTACCACCAGCTCCACCGAATCCAGGAGCTCCATATTGCTGAGAAGGAGCATTAGCTGATGGGGCACCGTACTGAGAAGAGGGGGCACCAAATTGAGCAGACGGGGCGCCATATTGGGTAGAGGGAGATCCAAATTGAGAAGACGGTGCACCATACTGGCTCGAAGGAGATCCGAATTGAGCTGATGGAGCGCCATACTGCGACGATGGTTGGCTTCCTTGTCCAGGAGCCCCGTATTGGGTAGATGGGGCGCTGAATTGGCCTTGACCTGATTGTGGGGCTCCATACTGGGTTGAAGGACGGCGACCACCAGCGCGAGATGGACCACGGCTTCTGGAATTCAAGGTTAAAGACGTGACCTTCTTCTTTCTAATAAAACTGATAGAAATTGGTTTAGCACGACGATTGTTTGTATGCTGATGATCTGCAAATTTATTCACAGGCACCTCCGGGTGAATTTTCCGAGGCGGTCAAGATGATGAATACCGACTTGACTCGAATCGTGAAATGGAGTACGGCCTATGGTCTCAAGGTGAATCCGGCGAAAACCCAAGTCATTGTTGTCGGTAGCCCTCGTTTACGCAGCAAAATCACATGGTCACACGTCTCACCGATTGTCTTCAATGGTACCACAATACCATACAGCGACACGGTTAAAAACTTAGGCATTCTTATAGACCGAGACTTGGGGACCTCAACTGGGGCACGTCAGTCGGAAAATGTTTGCGTCTGCTAAGTCGTTGCGTAGACTTCGAAATTTTCTTCCAACAGCCACTAAAATTGCGCTTGCCCAATCACTTCTCCTTCCCATCCTTGATTATGCAGATGCCAGCTATCCAGATCTTACCGAAATGCAGTTAAATAAACTTGAGCGACTCCAAAATTTCTGCATCAGGTTCATATTTGGATTACGCAAATATGACCATATTTCTGAATATCGTGCAAAACTCAAGTGGCTGCCGATCCGCCTTCGCCGGAATACTCATATATTATCCCTTTTATACAATATACTGTTTAATCCCGCAACCCCTTTTTACCTTAAAGGACGTTTCAAGTTCCACCATGACACACATTCTCGACCAATAAGGTCGTCGGAGAGGTTGAGGCTTGAGATGCCCCAGCACGAGAGCAGGTGCTTTGACAAATCCTTTTCGGTTCAAGCTGTTCGACTGTGGAATGCTCTACCAGTCTCCATTAGACAAGCACAGTCCCTTGTCACTTTCAAATCGCTCGTGAAAGAACATTATCTGGCCACGCTATAATTATAGTTAGGTATATCTTTGATGTATGTATGTATGTATGTATGTATATATGTATGTATGTATATATGTATGTATGTATGTGTAAGTATGTGTGTATGTATGCATGAATATTGTATATAGCTTGTTAATGTTTTTAATTCTATTGTTACACCTAGACTGCCACCCACTACTACAATACTCCGTCCACCTAAAGGTTGCCTGGTAGAGATCGCTTTTAGCGATAAGGCCGCCTTTGTACCCAGTACTTTGGATTCACTCATTTTGTACTATGCATGTCAACTCTTTTGGTGTACAATAAAGTGTATTTATTATTTATTATTATTATTATTGTTTTAGTAGAGAATTTTGGGTGAAAATGGGAAAATCTATGATAAAAGTATTATCAAGTCTGAATCAGGAATAGTTTTCGAGTTCCTTTGCGTTGAATACATAGACTAATAGAACGAGACAGTATTTATTTAACAAGAATTGCTTAAATAATGATTTTCTCAATATATATTTTTTTATATTTCGGCCTCACAGTGTATCTTATGAATCTTCAATAGATCTTCAATCCTCAAAAACCCCTATAACCTTAAATCCCCATCAACCTTAAAGAGGCCGGCAACGCACTTGTAGTAAGTCCTTAGTTATTATGAGTGTCCATGGGCGGCGCCGATTGCTTACCATCAGGTAATTCCTTATATATTCCTTATTCAGGCCTGGTCCTTCGCCGTCTCATGGCATAAAAATGTTCCTTAGTCACCATATTTGTCTAACATTAATATAATAGGTCTTATTTTTTTTATCCTCAAGATAATATGGTAATTTCGTGGTTTACCTGAACACAGCATCAGTCTGTCTCTGAAAGCCTTGAGCTCCGGGAGCTCCGTATAACGCCGAGGGTGCTCCGCCCCCCGACTGTGGTGGCAGGTATCTATTGTCCACCGGAGGCTCCGCCAAGCACACCACCGCTAACGCACTGATTAAAAGGAGCTGAAAAATATTGACAAAATTGTTAACTTTCATTTAAATATTCTTTAATGAATATGGGATTGTCATATGGGATTGATGAGTTCCGTGCGGGAATCGAACCCGCGACACGTTGTACGGCAGCCAGTTGCCCGGCCACCGCACCAAGCGTGCAGTCATATCGTTGTTTTTTTTAAACCAACTCCCATTAAAGGAAGGAGGATTGCAGGATTTTACTTCCTCTGATCCAATAAGGTTTTTCACCTCTATGGACGTCGACTTCGAACTATAACTATGAAAACAGGAATACCCAGATGCAAGAGGCACAAACTCATGAATATCCTACTGCCATGCACTTTAGTGTCGTGGTGGCCCGGAGGATAATGAGCCCGCTTCTCATACACGATGATGTGGGTTCGAAACCTGGCAAATACCAATGTGAATTTTTCCGAGCTATATGTACTTTTTATAATTATTTAGACACCACTGACTACGGTGAAGGTAAACATCGTGAGGAATCCTGGACTTATAATTTCTAGTTATAAGTTTGAAATCGCCAACCCGCTTTGAGCAAGCGTGGTGATTAATGCTCTAACCTTCTTCTTATCAGAAGATGCCTTTGCTTAGCCGTGGGCACTTAAAGGCTGATGATGATGATGCACTTTAGTTAGTTTAGAAATGCACACAGTTACGACCACGTAAAATGAAATAATGCGGTTCTTTCTATTTTATTTTTTAAAATAAAATGTATCAATAATTCTCCGGTCCGTTCTTGAATTGATATACATATATATATCTAACAAAATCTGTCATATTTTTTTTTCAACATAACTTATACAGAACCTTTTTTTTTCTTACAGAAACTTACCTTCATATTTTGAGGTATTTCTCGGATTCCTTACGCAATAACTGTAACCTGAAAGTATAAAAAAATAATTTCAAAAACTAATTATTTTGGAAATGAAATCTACTTACTTAAATTATTTTTTATTGAAAATATATGTTCCCATTTCATTGTAATCTAAGTAAAATATTGGTTACAAACAATTCTAGTTTTCATGATATTACAGATAATAAAAAAAAAACCGAAATTTCGTGAGGCCGGATGACCCGGTAGTAGTAGTTGACCCACATGCGTAATGAAAAAAAAAGAAAACTGTATTTTGTATTAAATAAACACTCAAAAATAACTGTAAGTATGCACTTATAATTTAATTTAGAAGAAGAAATATTCTTTTGAAGTTGAATCAATAAACAGTACACATTAAGTAGGTAGATAAAACGAATTTCTAAATTCAAATTTACCCCAATTTTTCTTTTTTTTACCATAAATAAGAAAATTATAAAAATTAGGGTACCTACAAAATATAACAAATTATTTATTAAAAAAAAAGAAGAACCAAACCTTAACAACACTTCACTAATCAAACACACGAAAACCGTTAAACGGAATTCGAAATATTCAAAAATTCAAATTTCTCGAACACCACACGGTTGTAACCGATGTTGCCCGAATGATGTTCGCATCGATTCCCGACCATTTATATACCATTATACCAGTGATTACTTATTACATATATTATCTATGTGTACATCTTTATACACATATAGATAATGTGAATGTGTGTGTAAAGACTGGCGCATCTCCTTAACGATACGGCGCGAATGTTGCTCTACATTTGTAATTTAATTTAGTTTAGTTCGAAGGTTAATATTATAGCTTATTTGTTTGGTAGAACAATATGGGTTTAGGATAACCTTGGTGCTAATGTTTTATCGGTCGTGAGGTTCTAACTTCGATTCTCTGGTTGAATGAAAAGTTTTGGTAATGACATTGAATTTCTATAAGGTCTTAAGTAACTCAGAGTCGTTCAATGGTTAGTGTAAAAAGTCCTCAGTAATTGTTATCGGAGCAAAATCGTTACTAAGGAATAGTTTGAGTAATCATTAAATATTTCTGAGTACGTTTGTAGTTAGTTAGTTAAGTTAGTTTGTAAGTAACTCCAGTTGGTTATCTGCCGAGGCATTCAATTCGTTTATTTAGTACATATAGAAAATAATCAAATTTCGTTTGCTATTGGAAATGTTTGATGAAAAGTAATTGTAATACATGAAGCTATAAATCTTTTTAACTTTATGCGATCCACAAATTGTGTTCCGGGTTAAGGTGTGTTTATGTGAAATTGTGAGCGCAGCCACAACACAAGAAAAAAATCTACATTTGGGGCAATACGTCCGTTTTATACTTACGGGGAACAATGTGAAATGGATAACCTTGCAATATCTGTAAGTATATCTTAAATTTTTTTTTTTTTTATAAAAAACTTGCTAATTAATTTATTATAGACAAATCGTGCAAAATTTATTTTTAAAGCAATGTTTAATCATCGTGGTTATGCAGTAATGTAATGAACGTAAATATTAAAGGATCATTTTGTATTACCTCTAGCCCCAGTTGTAATAATTTAGGTACTACCTATGATTTACTTTTCATTGTTTTTTCTGAATGGCCAAAGGATATACTAAAAGGCATTTCAAGGCTATCCATTCTTTACCGGACACCCTGTATTTTTTTTAAACGTTTATAAGTTTCTTTGTCTCGTATGTATTCTTATGAAGTTAGTCATGTGCTCTGTATTACTTTTTATATTAAACTAGCTACTCTCCCGCGGTTTCACCCGCTGCTTGGCTCCATTTGATCGCAGCGTGATGTTTTAACAACATTGTAGCTATCAGTGAAAGAATTTTGGTAATCCGACCAGTGGGTCCAAAGATTACTCCGTACATACAAACATACAAATTTTACCTTTTTATAATATTAGTATATATGAAAAGAAACTTAAACACGCGAAGAGAGTGAACTAAAAAAGAAAACCGGTTCCTCGAGTTTTATATTTTCTTGAATTCAACGTTCAAATTTTAAACTTCGTCATCGTCAATTATTTTTCTATCAATTTTCAAAATAGAGCATCGGTCAAACCGTATCGTTTACATTCCCCTAAAACCTATAAACTTAGGTACCTACTCTACTTAAGTCTGAGCTAAAATACTCGTGATTTAAACCTACAGCTATTTACCTAACATATAATAGCTTTATTAGTTCTCCTTTAGTCCGAGAGAGTGCACTGTTGGTCGTGGCCCACCACCATTTTTTATGTTACCTTTAGTTCCACAAAAGAGTAGACGGATTACCTACCTGATGGTAAGCAATCAGCGCCGGCCCGTGGACACCCGCAATACCAAAGGATTTACGAGTGCCTTGCCGGCCTTTTAGGAATAAGGGTTTCGGATATTTAAGGATTGGGAAAGGATAGGGGGTAGCGAAGGGATTGGGTCTCCGGTAACCTCGCTCACACGGCGAAACACAACGCTGTGATTGTTTCTATACAAGAAGTTCACCATTTTACATGGCTTCTTAGAGGTATGAGAGAACAGGGTGGAAAGTTCCTCATCCTCAATTGAAAAGGGAGGATCCTCCGACCAGACGGGTGTTGTGTCTGGTGGGCTACTGCCCGACGGTTGTTGTCGGGACATCTGAATCGGTGCTAATTGTGTTGAAAACTCTTATAGCGCGATGTAGAAACTTGCATGTGATTGGTGCTGTTGTCAATGCTGTGCGATAGATGTCGCTACAGCTTAAAGCGGCAAACAAGGTGAAGGATTACGTGATGGTAAGTAATCGGTACTGCCCATGACTATCCCCAACGCTAGATAAGTTACAAGAGCGTTGTTTTCTAGGATTAAGAATTTGAGGATTTAGAATCTCAGCCAGATTTGGTCACGCTCACGTAATACAACGAAAGCTATGTTTTACGCTAGTTTTAAGGATAAAAAAATCTTTAGAATATTTTGACTTACATAAAGAGCTAAGAGACCACTTCAGATGGGGCCCTATAGGACTGATGTTCAATGCGGTACCGCGGCCTCGGCAGCAGCATAAGGAACGGGCAGGAGGTCAGGAGCTCGGTAGAGCAGGAGAAGGAACGGGGAGTTTTTAGTCAGTAAGAGGCTGACACTCGTTCTCGCCTTACCCTGGGCGAGAGAGGTCATTTGATGATTTCCTCTCCTCAAAGAAAAGGGATATTTTGATTGACCAATAGCCATCAGCTATCCCATTTGTGTCCTTACCAAGTGGATCATACTTAATCCAAATCTTGATCTATCTGACAAATCTGATCTAATGTTTGGAATCGAAATCCAAACTAATATTATAAATGTGAAAGTAATTCTGTCTATCTAACTGTCTGTCTTTTCTTCTCGCCATACGTAGTTTGGAACTCGAGAAAGAATATAGGATAGTTTTTATACCAAAAATCTGCAGGAAGTTCCACGCGAACAAAGCCACAGGCAAAAGCTAGTCTGTAATAAAATATGTTTGTATTCATATTTATTTCAGGTCAGTACAAAGGTAATAATAATATAATCTATAAGAGGTTATGAAAATACTTATTAATATTGATATAATTTTATTAATAACTATTTATAATCATTCTCATAGTTACATATGTCGTAGGAAACTGGCTTAGATGATCATTCAATGAAAGATCTGAATGACAAGCTGTTTTTTTATGTGATATGTCGACAAACGAGCAGATGGATTACCTGATGGTAAGCAATCAGCGTCGCCCATGGATACCAACCTAAATTACTGAACTTATTTGTGTGAACTTTGGTACAGATTGTTTTTAAACCAAAAATCTCACTATTCCACGCGAAAACAAGGTATACCTATTTAATACTTTTCTTAATTCTTTTTTTGATCATGTATATCGTAATTGTGGGAGAAATACTTGGGTGGGGAATGAGGAAGTGTCTAACTCTTAATGGCAATCCTGGTTTTTTCTTCTATCAAAGTTACTTTCGTTCTATTTTAACGTATAGATATGTTGAAAAATTTGCATTCCAGCTTAGTTTCTGCCCAACCCTTATGTCCTAGTCCGAGCAAAATCATACTTCACGGCATGTTATAAAACGTGCAATTTATACTCTTCAGAGACAGGTTGTATCTGTCACGATCAGCATGAAATGAAGAACACTAAACACACATTACAAATTAAACTTTAATATAACTGTTCTAAAGTCTATTTTCGTAAAATAAAGATAGTGAAAAAAGATCGTAACTCCATTAAAGTTTGCGTCTGAAAATAGACTTTGTTGTGAAGGATATAAGATGGTGGATTCCTGTGACTTTTGCGTAGGTGTTTTAGTGACCTAACAGTGACAATTAGAGTAGTTTCGAAATTATTGAAAGTAGTTCTATGGTGTTGAGATCATGGTTTACGATGAGGTTAGCAGAATTCCATATGTACACACACATACATATGTAGGTACTACATAGTATAAAACAAAGTCGCTTTCCCTGTCCCTAGGTATATCCCTATGTATGCTTAAATCTTTAAAACTACGCAACAGATTTTGATGCAACGATGACGACGATGGGAGGTGAGGAGAGAAATACATCAATCAAATGGCTTCTCTCGCCCTGGAATGGTTTTTAGTCAGTAAGGTGTGTCAGACTCTTACTGACTAAAACCATGCCGTTTCTTGCCCCGTCCGTGGCAGGGCCCCAGGGTATTAATACTCTTGCACGCACAACCCCGTCTGAAGTCCGGGTTGCATCTGGACTGCAATTCAAATCCCACCCCGATATCTTCCAAACTAGGACAAATCTGGGGATATGGGGACGGACGAAAGTAGCAGCCCTTTTTTTTGTGAGGGGAAAATCATCAAATGACTTCTCCTGCCCAGGGTCGGGCGGGAGGGAGTGTTAGACTCTTACTGACTAAAAACCCCCCTGTTCCTTCTCCTGCTCAGGGCCGTGGTCGCGGTGCCTCATTGCGCTTACATCGCAACCACGGCTGAAAAGTAGCAGCCCTAACCTTAACAAAACTCAGCCTAACATGGG